GTTTTAATTGTATCTGGCGTCGGTATGGTAACGATTGGTTCTAACGTTAAAAAATGTCCAGCGGTTAGTGGTTGTAGGTCGTTAGGATCTGATGACATGGAACCTAATGGACGTGAGTTTAATATTGCCTCAATTYGGTGAAAGATGGTGTTCAACTCTTCGTAGGTCAGAATTTGTTCTTTGATCGTKCGATGTAAGAGGGTCTTAGCGGATCTTACTGCTGCCTCCCATAGACCACCCATATGTGGAGCAGCGGGTGGATTCAAATGCCATCTTATCTGGTGGGTCGCAAGACCTCTCTCTACTTCGTCGGACTTAATCAATTTCTGTATTACCTCCAAGTAGTTTTTCGCACCCACAAAATTAGTGCCGCAGTCACTATATATAGCTTCACAGCGACCACGTCGACTAATGAATCTATTAAGGGCTGATAGAAACAGGCACGTGGTTAGATCGCTTACAAGTTCGAGATGAACTGCTCGAGTTGCCATACAGACAAATATACACAGGTAACCTTTTGTGGCTTGAATTCGTCGTAACAAAGCGGCCTTTACCCAAAAAGGGCCTGCAAAGTCAACTCCTACCTGTGCAAACGCTTTGATACTTGCAACACGAGCTCGAGGCAACGCTCCCATCATAGGGTTCATGGGTTTTGGCTTCGCCTGAAAACAAGGGATGCACTGGTGTAGTCGTTTACGTATGACGCTACGAGCCGATAAGATCCAATAATCCTGGTGTAGAATATTCTGCGTCGTTTGTGGTCCGGGATGACAATGAAGACTATGTACATTGTCGATCAATAAAATGGTTAATTGCGATTGTTTTGGGAGTAGTATCGGGTGTTTTGCATCATAAGGCAAGTCAGAGTTCTTCAAACGTCCTCCAACGCGGATGAGATCATTGTCRAGATCCRAGTATGCACCAAGCATGMGAAGTTTGGGTGTACACGGTCGGTTTTGCCTAAGACAGTTCCAGTCTTCAGCGAAGTGTATATGCTGGACCCATCGTATTAACGCCTGTAACGCATCTCTCGTTTCTTGCGCGCTTGGGCGATTGGTTTGGTATTGCACCCTGGGCGGCCTACCCAATCGTTGACGTAGTCGCAACCAATAAGCTGCCAAACGGAGAACCTTAGAAAGTTCGGATGACGCGTAAAGAATCACACAATTTTCGTCTAATTGTGTAGGTGTAGCAGTTGCTAGTAAGGTAATCAACTTTTCTTCAGAATGATTTTCGACACGATCTGTATCTGACATATTTGCCTGTTGTGGCCAAGTGTCCAATGGTTGTCGAAGAAATGTCGGACCATTCCACCACAGAGGATGGTCAACAATTTCGCTGGGTGTAAGACCACGTGATGCGCAATCTACGGGGTTCTGTGCCGATGGAACGTACCTCCATATCTTTTGTGAAGTAAGTCCTTGGATTTTCGCAACCCGATTACCAACAAAAGTTTTAAGATTAGCTGATGGTGTATTGATCCAGGCAAGAGTCACCATAGAGTCGGTCCAAGCATAGTACTGGTTAATCGGTAATGACTTCAGGTTAGAACGGAGATAATCGATCGTACGTGCTAATAGTAGTGCCCCACAAAGTTCAAGTCGAGGAATCGACAGTTTCTTCTCCGGAGACACTTTAGATTTTCCCATTAATAAGTGAACTTGGATCTGACCGTTAGATGTGCGTGCTAGAAGGTAAGCAGCGGCGGCGTAGGCACTCTCCGAACTATCGCAAAATCCATGGAGTTCGTAGTTAGCATCCTCGACGGTAATCCGCCGGGCTACACATACTGAAGCAATAAAAGGCAACTCATCGTGATATCTTGTCCAAGCATCCTTGGCCACTACTGGCAGATCCTCATCCCAACCAATTCTTAGTGCCCATAAATACTTCATTAACCGTTTTAGGTTGGTTATTACCGGCGTCAAAAGACCTATCGGGTYATAGATGCGAGCAATCTCGGACAAAATCGCTCGTTTACTATACCTCACCGGGTTAGGTTGATACTGGTAAGCTATCGTGTCATTTTTGGGTTCCCACTTTAACCCAAGTACTTTTGTATAGTCTGATGTTGGCTCATCAAAGGTCACTGCCTCGGTTTGTCGGTGTTCGGGTGGTACAGATTCAAGCAGAGCAATGGAATTGCTAGACCATTTTCGTAGATCAAAGCCTCCTCGCTTKAACACGTTAATTAAATCTTGCTGCAGTTGAAGAGCCGATTCTTCACATTTCGTTCCAGTTGCTACATCATCCACGTAAAGATCGGTATGTATTACTTTTTGAACTTCTGGATGGGTTGCGGCTTCATCCGCAGCCAATTGGTGGAGGGTTCGAATGGCCAAAAAGGGCGAGGAACGCTGTCCAAACGTTACGGTTGTCATTTCAAACACTTGCACTGGATCTGTAGGCTGAAAACGATATAGAAGTCGCTGATATGCATGGTGTTCGCCAGTGATAGCGATTTGGCGAAACATTTGCCTTATATCTGCAGTGAAAACTATGGAATGTAATCGGAATCGTACTAAAATCCCCGATAAGTCTTGCTGAAGTTTGGGTCCAGGAAATAGACAATCGTTTAAAGATTTTCCATTGGAAGTAACTGCAGACGCATCATACACCACCCGTACTTTGGTAGTTAAACTCTCGGGCTTAAGTACTACATGGTGTGGAGTATAGTAGGAGTGTGAAGTCATAGTCT